TCTCTCTTTTCTTGCAATCTGGGATTCAGCTCTTTCAATAAGTTCCTTCCCAAATGACTTTCTCTTCTGTCCAGCTAAGCACAGAAAAAAAAGAAAAGATCCCATAGGTGCAAGGTTTCTTTTTCTTTAAAATCTTTTTTTGAGATTTCATGGGCTTCCAAATTCTTTGAATATCTGGCCTGACTAAAATCTGATCCCCAAGTGCTCTCTGGTCAGATACGCATGGCCCTGTGCTCCTTTAATAGAGTAATTATGGCCATGTCATTTTTTTCAGTCTTTTCATATTCTAAACTCAATTTTTTTCTGGTGAAGTCACCTTTGGTCGTGCACCAATTAGTCTGGTTTTGTCCAACCGGAGTTTCTAGTCCTGTTTTGTTGTTTTTATTCAGAGGCTAGGTTTTCAGGGGTTAACTCTCAAACATGCTGGAAAAGAAAAGAGACCTTCTCCTTTAATGAGTACTAAGCAGGAAAAAGAAACAGTGGTAGTGGTTGGAATGACAGCCAAAAAGACAGCTTTCTTGGGAGAGGTGCCCATCTTTCATTGAGGTGAGAGCCTTGGCCTCAAAAATAGCACATGCCACTAGCTTGCATTTTGAAACATTGGGATAAATTTGCCCCATGATGGATGAGTGGCCACCTGGACCTCGGATTTTAGCGTCTGCCTTGGATGACAGAATCTATCTCTAATCTCCCCAACTGTACAGGGCTGCCCTATATCTGAGTCATATTCCAAGAATCTGTGGTTGACTCTATTTTAATTTCTAAAGGGTTAAATCTGACAGTCTGTATAATTAAACATCTGTAATTTGTTTGTTTTCTACATGTGAGAATCTAATGCCTGGCAAAGGGCTATAAAATCTTTGCTTCTTGTTGATTTTTATGTATATGTGTGTATACCTGTGTATTCTATGTTGTGTCTACATGTGTGCTCGTGTATATGTATCATGTTTTTGGTACCACAATATAAATGAGCGCTCATAAAAAAAATCCAAATGCCTTTCAGGTCACGTGACTTAAACTGTTTAAAAAGATAAGAGCAAGACGTCTTTAAAATTTCTAATGTACACATTTTTTAAGTGGCCAGCCAATTAAGAAAACATTAGTATCTATAAAATGTTTAACATCCATTGCTTTTAAGGATTTTTCTTGGACAGCAATGACTTAGTTAAAATGTTAATTTGATTTGTCTGATTCATTAGTTTTCATGGTTGACATAATGTTAACAACTAGAATGAATGAATTAGATTTAACATAAATGGTACTAATATTCATAAATGTTTGTTAAAAGAGATATTTGACCAATTTATGAAGTTAAAATTTTCAAGCATCAAATGCTAAATTTAAATTTAAGTACTCTTCTCTTCTTACATTCCATAAGACAACATAGTTTAGGTTTATTAAATGTGCTTTTATAAATCATTGATAAATGGCAAGTCAATTTAAGATGGCTTTGTTTCTGGGTCTTCACTAAAAACAAGACAATTAAAGGTTAAAATTCTACTTATGTGTATTGCTGTATATGCAAGGAACAAAAAAACCTAAGCTACTTTTGATAAACAAACAACAACAACAAACTACAAGAAAAGTAAATTGTATTTCATGTCACTAAAAAATGTAATTTTATACACATTCATAAATTTTTAAGGACTGTTCAAACTATAAATTTAAAAAAGTTAACTAGGATAAAATACATAAGGAAGTTACAGAGACAAAAGTGGATTTTCTTAATAAGGAAAAAATGTTTCCAAAAGAGAAAGTACCTGGCATGGTAAAGTAATATTTTTTGTTCTAAAGTTCAAAATAAAAAGGAGTCAGGACAAAGCTAAGAATGTAAACAAGTTCTAGAGTGTCTAGGTAAGTTACAAAAGGAAAGTTACTTAAGGAGATTTCTAAAAGTCAACTTTGAATGTACCAATATAAACATCTAAGTATGCTCAAAATTTATAAGATTTTCTTAAAACATTGATCTGGACTTGTTTCAAGATAACTTCAAGATAATTTTGTTATCAAGATAACTTCTGTGTCTCTTAGTTTTTATTATTTAAGAAAATTAAGCCCTAACGAAATTAGGGTTCGTACTGATTTCAAAGTTTTTTTTTCAATGATTGTTTTATAGCTCTGTTTAAATAAACCAACTGTTATCTTAGAATATTACAATAGAGTTGACACCCTAAATTTGTGTGACTAGAGATAGATATGTATACAAATGAAAAAAAAATGTTTTTTCTGAGCTTTGTCTAAGTGTTACATAAAAGCTTATAAAATGAAAGCTACTTATGTTTAATCCAGGTATGGTAACCAATGAAGGTTCTCTTTTATACTTTATATCTGACATAAAGGGACACACTGCCAGGGTTAAAAAACCTAGCTTACATCTGTTTGTTGAAACTATGTAAATGTTTCATTGTCATATAAATGAGATGCATTTAACATCAGATAATAGTCTATTTCTGATACCTCATCTGAGTTAAGGCTCTGCCTCTCACTTTACTCTATGTTAGGATGCCTCCAAAGTAGGCCAGAATTAAGCTCATTTAAAGTTATGTTCAAAAGACAGATTTTGATTATAAAGATTACTGTGATCTCAAAATAAACAAGGGATATAATACAAAACTAATGAAAGGTTTAGGTGAATTTTAAAATGTATTTAAGGTTGTAAGAAAGTTATAAAAATAACAAAGTTTGTAAAGGATTTTCTATGTTATGAGTTTAAAAATTAATAAATCTTTGCAGAGGTTAAATAGACATTAAATATACTTTAGTGATATAATTGAAGCTATGTATCTTGATTCAAAGGTATTGTACAAACTAAATCCTCATACATCTTTGTAAGTGTTGCCTATTAGTATTTTATAAAATTACTATTTCTAACAAAACCACCTGAGCTAACTTAAGACTATAAACCATCAACCATAGGAGAGATAGTACATAATGCTGACCTTTACTACTAATACTGACCCAAAGTAATTAAAAAGGTAGCTGTAAAATTATAGACATTAAAGTTAAAACTCAGTATTCCTACTTCAAAATGGTGAACCCAACCTACTGGATGTTGAAAACCCAAACCTGGAGACAAAATCAAGGGCTTAGAAAAAGCAGCCAATATTTTGACCTTGCCCTCTAAGGTCAGCTGAAACTCAGGGAATAATGGGACGTCTCTAAGGACTCTAGTGAGTCACTCGGCCTCCAGATCAGGGGGATTGTGGAGAAACCTAGAAAACAGGAAGCCACCCAGTGCACATTCTGCAAAGAGGAGGGTCATTGGAAAGGGAAAAGTCATTGATGCTTCTGAGGGAAGCCCCATGTGGGCAGCAAGACCTGATCCATCCTGGCAGATGCATGAATGATAGAGGAGACCTTTCTTAGAGTGGTCCCTGACTTTTAATGGAAGATAAGAGCAGTCAAATTCTTTACCAACTTGGTCTTGAACACCTGGCAGGAAAGTGTAACCAAAATACAGTCAGACAGGGACACTTAGAAAGGCAATAGCTTTTGAATGTAACTGGGGATGTACACTTGTGTCAGTCCTCCCAAGAGTAAGTGAAACTGGGAAGCTATAAAGAGAGGGTCTTACATCAGAGTGTCTGATAACTGCTTGTTGTAAGTCAGTCTGAGACCTATGAACGTCCCTAACCTCCTAGGTAGGTAAGCTCAATTTGGTTTTCACTGGCATGGTTATTTAGCTCTGGGTTGGTCTAAAAGATGTAATGTGGCACACGAAAGCCCTAGCTGACTTTACCAAGAGAGTCCTAAGTTGCACAGCTAACAGGACCCTTCTGCTGACACAGAGGTAAGGCCAAGGAGAAAACTACTTTATAAAAATCCAATGGCCTTCCACAGCTCCAGGGGAAACCTGGGCCATTATTAAAGTTAAAAGTTGGACATGTGTTTTTAGCAACTTTGCTGATATTTCTGAAGCCTTAAATGGCCTCCACTCACAAGTATAAACGACACCACAGGCCACACCTTAGACTCTAACAAGTTACTATCTTCATGGTCTTCAGAGACTGGCTGTAACACTAATTGTTTACAGAAAATAATACTTTGCCATCTTTTTATTGTTCCAGCCTGATCCTTACCCTATGTCCAGTCACCTGCCAACTGCTGCCATGGACCCCTGTACTGCCCTGATGCAGAGTGTATTAAGCTGCAGATTCGATTAAGTTCCAGATGGTCATGGAGATGCTACCCACCATGGAAGTACCACCTGACTTCACAGGGACCCATTAGAGAGGCCTCTGTAGCGGGACCCTGACTGACACTCCCCTTTCAACATCCCTCTTCAGCCTGAAGCACGTGAGAGCAGTCATTGCCCAAATTCCAGAGAGAGAGAATGACGTCAGTGGGAAGAGATAAGCCCGGGAGGACAGGGAGATGGGCCCCTGGGCAGCTTCCAGGGCAGGAGAGCACAAAGGGCACCTGCAGATGTTTGCTAAGGAAATTACAAAAGGGCTGTTTTAAAATCAGGACCATGTGACTGGAGAGTTCCATGTCTCTCCAAAGAAGGGAAAATGCCTGATTGATATTTTGATTGGACTAAAGGCTGCATGAACACCTCCTGACACTCAGGGCCTTGCCCGGGATTGGGCAGGGAGCTGGCTTCCTTAAACCTATCCATCTACATAACCCCCTGGACGGTAGCCCCTCTTTCCTATCCTTCTTTTGCCCCCCCACCCCCCACTTAGAAGTTCTCCTTTCTATTATTCTAATAAATCCTGTTACTTTGCTCTCACTCTTGTGTCCATGGATTTTATTCTTCAGATTCATGAGATGAAGACCCCAACCCCACGCTCGGCCCTGCACGCCTAGCCCCACACGCTGGGCATAAGAAAGCAAGGAGGAGTTGGGGGAGGGGGCTGGGGGCCGCCTGTCACCTCCCGGTCCGGGCGCGGCTCCGGTGCTGATTTGCCCCCAGCCTAAGGGCTGGATTAGGGTTGAGAGGGACGTCCCCTGTAGAGGCTGCCGCCTCCGGGAACTGCCCTGCGCAGGCAGCAACGCGCGCCGGGGACGCGGGGGCCGAGCGTTTGCTCTCCGCGCGCCGGCGGTTTACGGAGCGGCTTTTCGAGGGAGGAGAGGCCGCGGGGAGGCGCCCAGAGCCGCTCCGCCCGCCAGTAGCTTTCGTTTCCCGCCGCGCTTCCCCGCCGCCCGCCCCCAGGCGAGTTTCGATTACCCGGCGCGGCCAAGGGCGGGGTGGCGCTGATGGCCTTTGCCGGGCGCCCGCGCGCCCCACCGCTGCTCTGGCTGCTCTCAGGGCGGCTGCGCGCCTGGCGCGGGCTCTGCGCTCTGGCCATGGCTCGGCCGCGCTGCTTCGCTCTGGAGCTGAGGGACTGCACTTTAGCTCACTTCGCTCTGGGCGCGGAGGGCTCCGATGCACGGCCTGACCCCCGCCTGGCTGAGCTGCTGGGGCCTCCGGGGCGCAGCTACTCGCTGTGTTTGCCGGCGGCCGCGGACGGCGACTGCGGGGCCCGAGTCCAAGCGGCTCGGGTGCACCAGAACCTGCAGCGCCAGCTGCGCAGTGACCCCTTCCAGCGGTGCCAGCTGCACAGGCTGCTCTGCTACTGCCCAGGCAGCCAGGCCCAAGGCATGCAGCACGGCTTCCTGCTGCGCGACCCCTCTGACTGCCTGGACACCCGGCGCGCTCTGCTAGAACTGCTGGGCAGAGTCCAGGAGGCTGGGCGTCCGCACCTGGGAGAGTTTGAGGCCGACTCGCAAGGTGTACTGTGGCAGCGAGTCTGGGTACTGCAGGAGAGTGGGCAGCTGCAGGTGGGCTGCGCACGCGTCCTACCCACCTTGGAGCCCCCGCTGCATCCAGTGGTGCCCCACCTCCTCAGCTCGGTGGTCTTCCGGGACCTGGACACTGCCAGGGCTATTTTAGAGACGGTAAGATTTTTTTTTCCCTTCAGGATGGCATCTGGATCCTACACACCAGAACTGGACCAAGCAGTTTGCTGTCCAGCAGGCTGACCTGTAATGAACTTCCTTCCCTCCTTAGTTTGTTTATTCCTGTTCACAGATCAGTTAGTGGAGACATCCTGTATGCCAGGCTCTGCATTAGGCACTGGCTCTTTCGAGATTCTTATCTGAAGGAACTTCCAAGCTGACACAGAACATATCCTAACACCAAGCAATGCCATGCTTGCTGTGGTGCATACAGAAAGTATCCCAGCAGGAGTGGAGAGGGGCTAGGAACCGGAGGATAATGACAGCGAGGTAATTTTCCTTGGTAGTGGCTGCCATTCAGGGATCTTGGGGTGTAGAGGAAAGGACACCAGTTTGGAGTGTAAGAAACTTAGGCATAAAGAGCCTTCCTCCTCAGTAGCTGTGGGCCTTGTACCCTCACTCCACCTGTGTGTTTCCTCCTTTCCTCCACACCCGTTTGTCTTTCAGGGTTCTTGTCAATGATTAAGGAAACAGGTGAGTCACAGCATCATTGAAAGAGACTGAAGACTGACCACAGGTGGGATCTGGGGCATGCAGACTGGCCCACTGACCTGTGATTCATTAGCCTTATGGGACAGGGTTGCAGAGTGGGTAAGAGTGCAAAGTCGTTCACCTGGGGTTGAGTTCAATCTCTGGCATTTATAGGTGCTTTCAATAAGTTTCTCCAGTGCTCTTTGCCTCAGTCACCTTGGTTCACAAGACGAGAGTAATCCTCGTCCCACTCTTACAAAGTTATCTTAGAGATTGGCTAGCTTCATATTGTGAAGCACTTGGAAGGTCTCCGTTTCCAATAAGCACAGAAATAAGTAGGGTCTGGGCCTCGTGTGGAGGTGTGGTGAGCATGGGATAGAGCACTGCGCAGCTAAGGCCTTGGAATTCTCAGGCAGACACTGCTCTGCCAGCCCTTGCACTTTTCACAGCTCCCTGAGCTCTTAGGACAGGACAGAAACACACTGCTCATTTACCAACTTGCCACCCTCTGTTCCAGGAGGGGCCTGTGGTTCCACTCTGACTGAGTTATACTGCCCTGTAAGTATGGGTCTTGACCAATGCAGGATGTGTGTGATCCAGAGAATCGAGCCTTTTAAAGCCTCAGTTACCCATTACGAAACTATGGTGGCCAGCCTGTCCCAGCTTCAGGATACCAGGAGTTTCATATGCCTGGTGGGGCCCTTGGTGTAATGTAGGCCTAGTCTTGGGCAACTACAAAAGCCCCAGTGCTTGCTGCTGATGGATACCCATTGTATTGCAGTGTACGTCCTCTATTCCGGAAGCCCAGGCAGTTCTTGATGTGGTTGACAAGTGCCCAAGGCAGGTCCAAAGAGGAAAGTTCCCAGTCATTGCCATCGAAGGACTGGATGCCACTGGTAAGAGACTTTGTAGTTACAGACAATGGCATTCACTGTTCAGTTGTGGAAAAAAAAGAAGTTCTTCTGAAACAGAACTTCATACAGAGCCTCGATCTGGCTGTACTGTACAGCAGGTGCTGGACTAGGCAGGCCATAAGGCTGGCCTCCCCAGGGGACACCATGCGGACAGGGCGAGTTCTGACAACAAGGCTAGTCAGGGGACAGGTGCAGGGAAGGCGCTCCAGAAAGAGAAATGGCCTGGACACTGGTGCACAGACGTGACCCGCATGGTGTGCCCAGGAACCCCAGGCAGTTCAGAGGACAATCTTGGGAAAAATGTGGAAGAACAAGGAAATGGAGGAGGAAAAGCCTTCTGAGCTGCACAGATCTCACGACTCGTGTCTGCAGTGAGACTCGGATGCCCAAGGGGAAGAAGTGTGGCTTCTGGGGCAGACAGGGGTGGAGACGAGGAGGCTGAGCTTGTAGAACACTAGCACCCGTGGGGCCTGGCATGAGGACCAGCTTCAGGAGTGTCATATGCCTGGTGTGGCCCTTCCTTGTCAACTTAAGGGCACACACTTATCCTAATAGCCTCACAGTAGTGTCCAGTGGGGCCCTGTGTCATGACCAAATGGACTGTGGTGCAGGTGGAGGGCTGGCTTTGACTGTCCTGGTTCCCTCTGAGTGATCCGGAGGAGAAGCAGTGGCTTTGGACTTCTGATGGCCATCTGTCACTCGTTGGGTGTGCCCGCTCTGCTGGATCCAGTCCTAGTTATGCGGGAGTCGCACAAAATCTCAACAGCATCAGTCCTGCAGCCAGTGCAGGCTCTGCTCATTTGTTTTATACTTAAAGCTAATTTAGATTCTGTGGGGTTAAAAAAGGTCCAAATATTTAACATCAGCACTCACGTGCGTGCATGAAAAACTCATGAGCAGAGAGCGCCGTGGGGAGACAAGGAGGGTTCACTTGTCACCAGTGCATTCTGGGTCCAGGCCCATCAGCAGGGTGTTTGGGTAATTTGCTACTTTTCTCTAGTACCAGATTGCTCCTCTATAAGGTGATTAATCAACACCTATTTTGTAGGGTCCTTGGGAAAATTAGATGCATACTGTGTGTCGAGCTCACAGCTCCTAAAGACACTGACAAATGCTAGGGTTCATCTTATCAACCCAAGAGAAAAATACAATCAAATAAAAGAAATAAACAGTTTGTAATAAATTTTTGAAAACTTAAGTGGAGAGAGAGGAGTAGGGAGGGAGAGAAAAGATGGCTAAGCGTTAGGAGCGCAGAGAAGCCAGCCAACAGTGTCCTGGAGTGGATGACTTTCTTATCCGCACCCATGCTGAGCTCAGCACTGCAGCCAAGGCTTATGGGATGGGTCCAGGGCAGAGGCTGATGTGAGTACACACCTGCAGCTGTGCAAAGGGGATCAGAAAGAGGCTGAGCAGGGCTGTAACTTTGAGGAAGAACCAAAGTCTAAATCCAGATAGAGCAGCTCCAACGGCCAAGCCCAGGGAGCCACGGCAGGAAGAGTGATAGAGTCAGGGTTGGAACTGGAAGGGGCTTGAGGAAGTGGCAGCAGGGGGTGAAGAAGTGAGAAGGGAGGTGGGACCAGGAGAGGCACTGGGGATGCCACATGTGTTCCTCAGCTTCTCTCCATTGTGACCAAAATACCCGGCACACACAATTTCGGGAGAGGTGATTTGTTTTGGCTCATGGCTTCAGAGGCTTTGGTCCATGGTCGGTTGGGTCCATTGCTCTTGGCCAGAGATGAGGCAGAAAGAACATCATGGTGGCAGAAGGAAAGCTGTTCAGCTCCTGGGAGCTGGGCAATGGAGGGAGAGAGAGACTGAGAGTGAGAGCAAGATGAGAGAGAGAGAGAGAGAGAAGACAGACTGGCCCAGGGGCAAGATTCAGCCCCTCAGGGCATGCTCTCAGTGGTCTACTTCCTCTGCCTCTGCCTCACCTCCTAATAGTCCATTCCAATTATTCACCCATCAAATGATGTAGGCAGAGCCCCAGGTCCAAACCTTTCCTAAAAGCCCCACTTCCTAACACTGCTGCACGGGGAAGAGGCCTCAAACACAGGGCACTGTGGGGGACTTCCCAGGTCCAGACCACAGCACTGTGCCTGGGTCATTCCTCAAGACAGGTCAGATGTGGGTGGCAGGGGTGAAGAGAAGCACGGGCCAGGAATAAAGGAGCACGTGAAAGGAGCTCTGGTATCAGGAGCCTGCAGACCCAAGTTCATCATTGATTCATAAAAATGAAGATCATTTTTTTTTCCTTCCAGATATTCTAATGCCAAGCAGAGGAATCCTAAGTTCCTCTCAGCCTGCAACTTTATATAAAATACCCTAGTGTGAGATAGCCTCCTTTCAATGACAGATTGAAATAATTATTTTGCTTCTTGATGTTAATGTGAACCTTGTGATACTACAGGGGCTGTGTCAAAAATGTGATGTCTTTTGTTTGTGACTTGCAGGTAAGACCACGGTGACCCAGGCAGTCTCCAAGTCTCTCAGGGCTGTCCTCTTACACTCACCACCCTCTTGCATTGGCCAATGGAGGAAAACCTTTGATGATGAACCAACTATTATTAAAAGAGCATTTTACTCTTTGGGCAATTACATTGTGGCTTCTGAAATAGCTAAGGCATCTGCCAAGTCTCCTGTGATTGTAGACAGGTGTGTATAAAGCTTCCTGGAATCAGGCATTTTCTCCCCGACGTGTGTGGGGTGTGGTGGGGCACATGCAACACCCTATTGTGTTAATCAAGTGAAAATTGTGTTAAGATTATAATAGCAACTGTGTCTGTCATTTATTAATTGCTTATACCAGTCATGGCATTTGGCACAGAACTTGCAGAAATTTTAGTGACATCTGGATCAGTAACTTGGGTAGAAAGATATCAAATGTTATCCCCAATTAACTGATTAGAAACAGACCCTAGAAAGGTTGAATAACTGGCCAGTGAATGAGAAGTCTGGGCTTCGCCTCTCTGTGCTTTTAGTGGTTCATTTGTTCACTGACTGATTCAACAAAGATTTATTGGACACCTAACGTGTGCTAAAGACTTCTTAGACCAAAAGATTTAGGGTAAATGAGATCGTCAGTACACTGCTTCTGTGGAGCAAAGTGACCAGTTGCAGAAGACAGTGACCACGTGGGCAGAAATGTGAGGTGATCTCAGAGAACGTAAATATGAGGAAGAGGGTAAATCAAGGTAACATGACACTGAAAACCTCCAAACTCCCAGTAGGTATGGCGCAGAGGGCCTGCCTCAGAAGGCATCTCTCAACAGTGATCAAAAAGAGTCAGGTGTGAAATTTCCAGGGGTGCAGGATGATCATGTAAGCCAGAGGCTGACAGATTCAGGGATCAAAGGGAGGCCCGTGTGCTGAAACACAGCCTGTGAGGCCGGCTTTCTGGAAGGACAGAAGGAAAATGTGGGGCAGGTCACGGGGAAGTGTGAATTTTATTCTTAGTGGGGAATTATCTGAAGAATTTAGATATGGGAGTGGCATGAACTAATATTTTAAAGTTTGTACATATAAATAATAGCTTTAAAATGCAGTAAAAATGGACAAAAGCTATATAGCAAGGGGTACCGAGTTTAACAGTGTCTCAACACGGAGTATAGAAATTGCAATCACACTAAGATGCCATTTTGCTCCCAGGAGTTTGGTGAAGACCTGGGTTGGAGAAGACACAGATCCATGGGAACTCATGTGTGGGGCTGACCAGAGATGGACACTGGTGTTGTCCCGTGCAGAATAGGTTGAGGAGATGTAGCAGAGGGGAAGGTTGCTGCCACTCACTGGAGGAACACCCTCCAGAGTTTATTTCAGCATCATTTATACTATCAAAAAGTTTGAAAAGCCAAAAGCCCACCAATATAGAAAGGAAAATACTGGCATATTTGTAAAATGGAATATCATGTGGCAATATACACAAGGGTAATGCATCACTGTGCACAGATTACAAAACCATAATGTTAAATGCAAAAAAAATCACATTGCAGAAATATGCTCAGCAGAATGCATGTGAAATAATACTGCAGAGTATGGAGAGATGAAGGAATGTTGAGCACTGAATTTAAGAGAGCCATATTCCTATGTGCAGAGAGAAATGTGGTTGCCAATGTGTCTAGAAGGGATTCATTTGTGATGTATTATTTCTTTACATTACTCAAGTATTCATTTTACTGCTTTCTGTGCAATTTTAGTTGTTTTTGAATCTAAGCAATTTCATCTAAGCAATTCAATACGTATTAAGAAGGGCATTAATAATAAATGTAAATCCCAAGGAATTTCAGGAAGTGAGCCTATCAAATAACCTGAACCCTGGGTTATGGTTTAGCTATTTGGTGTCCCCCCAAAAGTTTGTACGTAAGACAATGCAAGAAAGTTTTGAGGTGAACTGATTGGGTTATGAGACCCTTAACTTAATCATTGCATTATCCCCTGATGGGGATTAATTGGGTAGTGACTGTAGGCAGTGGGGGTATGATTGAAGAAAGTGGTCCCCAAGGGCTTGCCTTTGGGGTATATTTTTTTACCTGGTGAGCAAGACTCTCTCTCTACCTCCTGGTGCAGAGACTGACCATTCCCAAGGAATAGAGTTAGCCAACTACAGACTGAGACCTCTGAAACCATGATTCTCAGATAAAGTTTGCCTCCTCTAAAACTGTCCTGGTCACAGCAGTGAAAAAGCTGACTAAAACACCTGGTCAAGAATGGGAGCCTTGGGCCCGGGGATGTGGCTCAAGTGGTAGCGTGCTCACCTGGCATGCATGCGGCCCGGGTTCGATCCTCAGCACCACATACAAACAAAGATGTTATGTCTGCCGAAAAACTAAAAAATAAATAAATAAATAATTAATTAAAATAAAGAATGGGAGCCTTGCTGCACCCCATAAATCTGCTCCTTCTCCACCTGAACATGGTCCATTCTCCTGCCCAGTGGTAGCCACTCTCCTGATAGCATCTACCACATATTGGTTTTTCCTGTTCTTGAACTGCCTATGAATGCAACGCTACGTCAAATGCTATTTGCATTCGGTTTTTTTTTTTTTTCACACCACCTTGTGTTTGTGAGGTCTCCGTCTGGTAATGAACTTTCACACACCTTTGCTGCAATGTACATGCGATTCTGATGCATAGGTTTCCGGGAGAGGAACGGCAGGGGCATGGCATTGAGGTGTATTCAGCTTTCGCAGGTATGGAACAAAGTTTCTAGAGTGGTGGAAACAACTTACAGCCTCATCTTGTCCCACAGGAGGGTCTGAGCCCTCCCTTGGGAGCCCCCCTCACCCACAGTTAGTACAGCCTGACTCTGCTCTAGCCTTTCTGCTGGTTCATGTTGGGAAGCTGGTAGTTACAGCCGCTTTGCTGCACCAGGGAAGAGACTTCCTACTCCTTTCTTGAAATGATATCTTTCTCTGTGCTTTTTGGTATATTGGAAATATTTCATAAAGAGATCACCCAGATGGTTTTTAAGAATAAAGGATGTGGTGGTACTATGAGGATGAGAGGGAAACGGCAAGTTTAGCCTGAAGCTGTGGCTTCTCGTCTCAGCTACAGTGGCAGCTTGGGGTATTACTTTGGTGGTGGGGGATGGTGGGCTGGGTGGGGTTGGGTGGGGGTGTTTTAATTGTTTCCAAGTTGGCAAGTATGAGGAATGCTAGAAGAAATGGCAAAAGCTGTGGAGTCTTGTTCCTCTTTGGGACACTTGCCTGGGCGACACCTTTGCCTCATTGCCAACTTGCCCAGTGTTAGCATATCTATGGTCATTCCCTGGTATTTCAAGGGGGAAGACTAAAATTTTCCTGCAGACCATGACTTCAGGTGGGGCATATTTTCCTTGGTGCCCTGGGTGTTGAATCAATACCTGCAGTGGAGGCAGGTACTCATGCCCTCCGTCTCTTGGTTTGCTGATCTGTCAAAGCGGTATATTATACGCCCTCCCCTGCCTGCCCTCAAGGCCCGTGATGCATAGCAGTGAGTTGATTCATGAGCAGGGTCTCTGACACTAGCAAATCATTCTAAAAATAGACAGCATGATTCTAAAGCCATGTGTGATGTATTGGCCAAGGGTTCTGGGTTTGTGCTTCCCCTGATGGTAGGATCCAGAACGCCAAATAGTGCAAAGAGTGGAGGTGATGTCCAGGGGCATGATTATTTTAAAAGCACAGCAGGGCTGTCAGCGAGAGAACTTATAGAAAACAGGCTTTAATTCCATTTCTCTGCTTTGTGTCCCTGGCTTGTCTGCAATTTAGTTCTTGTCAGAGGAAAAGCAAAAAGCAGTTCTGTGTTGTCTGAGTGGGTTTGTCCATGTTTAAATATTCTGAAATCCATTTTTTAGGTAGCACCTTCCTCTGGCTGGATGATGTGTGGGTAGAGGTTGCTCAAGATTTCTATGGTAAAGGAGTCTTGTTGAATTATCAGCCTTTGTCTTCATACTGAGCATTTCACTCAGAGAACACGGAGTGTGCAGATGCCTGTGGTAGTCTGGGCGACAAGACCTGTCTGCTTGCCTGGCACTGACGGGCAGTCAGATGCCTGGAGGCTCGGGGTCCAGCCCAGGGTTCCCTGGATGGGCACGTTCAGTGTGAATAGCACAGGAGGCCTGACTGTCCAGAGTTTGCCCAAGACACAGCACTCGACTAAAATGAAAGGCCCCCAGGTCTGTTCTATTGGCCCTCACCCCAGCACAGTACCAGCACCCTGTGGGCAAGCCCCGTGCAGCAGCCTCCGCTCACGGCAGGGGACAGTGGTAATCGAGTAAGGGCAACCTCACGGAGAGCCCACTCATCATTGCTCTTGTTTTCAAACTGTTTTGTGATTTTTGATAGAACTCAGTTTTACTTACCTTGCTGCATCACCCTGGGGGCCCGCAGGCCAGCCCTGGGTTCCTTGTGCTGACCAGCTGATCCCTGGGCGCTACTTGACATCTGGCGGGTTCAGGAACTCACGGCTGCTTTTCTTCTCAGGTTCTGGCACAGCACAGCCACCTATGGCATAGCCACTGAGTTGAGTGGGGGTCTGCAGCACCTGCCTCCTGCCCACCACCTCGTATACCAGTGGCCAGGGGACCTGCTCAAGCCTGACCTTGTCCTGCTGCTCACCGTGAGTCCTGAGGAGAGGGCACAGAGGCTGCGGGACCGGGGCCTGGAGCAGACCAGAGAAGAGGCTGAACTTGAGGCCAACAGCGTATTTCGTCAGAAGTAGGTGTCCCTGGGGCAAGGCAAGCGGTGGGCATCCCTGCAAGGACTGAGCCAGAATTGGCACTGGCTTTAGGCGCATGGAGAAAGTGACTGTGTCTCGTGTTTCCAAAGTAGAGGCAGTGCCCTGAGCTGCGTCAGGCCCCGTGGGCAGGCCCCGTACCGTGGGGCTACAGCTAAAAGTCCACTGACTGGAGATCAGACCATGCCGCTTGTCCTGGCTGTGCCAGGAACAGCACGAGCCTGGGTAAGACAGTGAGGTGTCCGTGCCTCGGTTTCCCAGTCTGGATATGATGGGCATAGCGCAGAGTGCCTACCCTGCGTCAGGCGGTTTACCTACATCTGGGTGCAGTTCTCCCACAGCCTCCCTCGAGAGGCCACATCTGCCTTATGTTAACAGTTGACAAAACCAAGGCTCAAAGGATTAAATGATTTGTCTACATTTCCGTACTATTAAGTAGTAAAACTGGGATTAGAGTCAAGATCTTTGTGCCTTCAAAGACAGTGTTTGTTTTGATCAGAGGGTTATGAGCACCGCGGCGAAGAGTCCAGACAGGCCTGCGGCATCACGGTCAAGTGTGGCTCCGTCTCCAGCCCTGGTTCTGGAGGCGAAAACCAAAGTAGCTTAAACAGATAAACAGTGATGTCATTGTCATCACACAGTAGTGTCACCCTACAAAGAATAAAAATAACTGTGCTGCATGTGAAGCTATCATGCCCAGCAATTTGCATTTATACAAATTCCATTAAGCCTCTTTACAAACTCCTGACAGAGGTATTATTTCAGCACTTATCACACAAATGACCCGGCCAGAACAGGGGATGTGACAGGCTGATGTAGCTAGTAGGTGGCATAGCAGATGCTCCAGCTCCAGGCCCCGTCTTAACCACTGTGCCACAGAGCCTGTGATAAACAGACAACTGGCCACGTAGGCACCTCGCTGCAGCTGACCGGAAAGGAGAGATGATAGGGGACCCTGGCAGGAGCTGTGCCCTCCACTCAAGTGCCGGAAGAGTTAAGTTCAGGCAGCGACTGTGCAGAGGACTCTGGCCCCTGTGAAGATCTTCCAGGGAACAGACTGGGAGAAATTGGCCATTGGCCTCTTTGAGCTTTGGTTTCTTTCTCTGCAGAACAGTGATAAAGATGGTTCCTCCCCTTAGGCTACTTTGCGTATTAAATGAGAAGAACTGGGCAGAACGCTAATGCTTGGCAGATGATAAGTAGTCAGTAAATGCTAGCTGTTAAACATTATTGCTAAGTTGTCATTTATTAAGCAAAATGCATTTACCGTTATCTGTGGGCAAAGCTAGCGGCTCAGGGGAGCTGGGAGGTGAATGAGGAGGCACTCGGCCTCATGTGGTTATTATCATGGTACAGAGTCTCTCTGCAGGGAGAGCTGTGCCAGCAACCAGGCTGATGCTTCCTTCTGCCTGTCCCCAGGGTGGAGGTGTCCTACCGACGGATGGAGAATCCCGGCTGCCTCGAGGTTGACGCCAGCCCCTCGAGAGAGAAGGTCCTGCAGACCGTTTTGGGCCTGATCCGAAACACTTTTCAGGACTTGTAGGTCTCTGGTCAGGTGCCCCATCTCAGCAGAGTAGGTGTCGGCCTGGTAGATCCAGGGCTGCGCTTGACAGGCAGCTCCCACTTCACGTTGCCCAGGTATATTGTGTGACAGAAAACGGGAGACTGGGCATTTTATTTGACTCCAGCCATTTATTTGCCTGAAGGCCCTGACAAGCTTGTGCCTGGTGGGGCTCCACAGGGACTGGCGATTTCCTTCTGCCATGTTCTCAGAACATGTTTTCAACTCCGTCACTGTCAAACTTCTCCAAGATGGATCTTATCCAGAAAGAATCAGGTGTGCAGAAGCCACCAGGAAGCTCTTCACAGCAGCAGCAGAGAGCCCAGCAGCCCCTTCTGACGAACACCTACGTCCCCACAACCTCACCTGTCATGACTTTCAGGTCTGGAGGCACTACGTCTCCGTCAGCCATGCCTTTCCACACAACACACCGGTTCACGGCCATTCCTACAGAGCTGTTTGTGCTGGGGGACATTCACAGAGCAGGCAGCAACCTTGTGCCTGAGGCTCCGAGCCCCTTGGATAGAACCCTGGGTTCACACTCAGCGTTGAACAGGAAGGTGATGAGCCAAGCTGCTCTCGCTGCAGACACTCCAGCCTTCTGTGCATTCCTTGTTTCCATCCCCTTCCCTTCCTTTGAAATATGGCTCTGAATGTAATGAGCAGTCTGCAAGGAGCTGGTTGCCTTTCACTTAGCCAATCCAGCAATTTATTTATATTGATGTTTACATTATGTGTTTCCTCAGTGTAGGAGCTATGAGTCACTAATTAAAATTGGAGTCAAGAAGCTAAATGCAATGTTTGTTGTGTATTTTCATTACACAAATTTAATTTATCTTTCTCAGTGAGCACAGTGCATCCTGGAATGGGTTTTCTTAGTAAATTATCTTGCACTTGAATGTCTTGTGATTGCACATGGAATCAGCTTTGAGATCTGCTTGGCTACAAGACAGTAGCTGAGGAAAGGGGGACTTAATAGCTCTGTGGCCTTGGCTGAGTCACGGAACATCAATAGTCTGTGTTACTTGATCTGAAGAGGGACAGACATTTTTGGTCAGAAAGAGATGCTTGAACCAGATGAGGACCTAAAATTCCTTCCAGTTCTAAGGTAGATGAATTTGCAAATTATTTCATCCTGTCTACGATTTCTTAAGAAAACTTTACCCCCAAATAATTAAATGTAAGGCCTTACCAGTTTTATCATATGACATCTTTAATTATAATCCAGTTTAGTAGCAACATCATGCTATTTTTCAAATGAACTATAGATAATCTATACACAGTGTATTTATTCAAATAGATTATACAATTGGTTTCAATTGAAAATATTCTTAAAGCTGATGAATAGAATTAGTGTTCTTTGCAGTGTAATATCCAACTATATTTTGATTTCATTTACTTTAAACATTTCAAAAGTTTTTGCTGGAAACCTAGAAAAACAATTACCTAATGCTTTGTTTATATCTCTTGCAAATGAAAAAAATTGCTATGGTTTTCTCAGCTGTGCTGTGGTCATGGGTGCATTTGTCCAAAAAGGTACCCACGGTTTCCCTCCAAATGCTGTGTAGCTCTTGAGATTAAGGAAATTGGATGGTGTGTGTTGGTAGTGACATGGAATTTGTGATCAAGGGGCTTCCAGATGAGAGGTGAGTGATCATATTATTTTAAATGCTATTTCTTCATTATAAATAGTAAAAGAATTTTTTATTATGCGTTCTTTGAGGATTTTTTTTAGATAAGACAGCACCTCCTGTCCCCAAACTGATGACAAGTCATCGTTTGCCTGGCTCTGCTCCCTGCGAGTGGGGCACTGCTCCCACTCTCCTGATAGGACATATGTTGTCCCCAACATCAATTCTCCCTTCCCTCCGTAGTAGCAGAATTTCAGGAGGGCCTGTGGTGGCTGAGAGGGCAGAGCACCTTCCCTTTCAGCTCAATGAGGTCAGCTGGCTAGGTTCTTGCCGGGAGCAGAAGGACAGAGATATGGCAGGATGGGGCCCTTTAATTTAACTTATCCTGCTGGCTCTATTCAGGGGTGGTAGTGAGCCCTGTAGAGACCAGGGGTTGAGGAGGACACTGCAGAGAGGTGAAGCTGCATGTCTGCGCTGCCACCCAGCCTGGCCCACCTTGGGCTTCTATGTGGGACGAGCATGCTCCTGCCTGCTACCAGCCATTCTTGGGGTGGTGCCGCAGTCCGGCTGCAGCAAAATAACGGGGGGGGGGGGGGGGCGAGGGGGGGTGACGAGCAACTTGTGTACATTGATACAGCAGGAGTGGGAGCCGTTTATTGCAGGACAGGAGGGGTATTTATACATTACACACAGCTTATCTTAATTAACATAAACTAGATACAGCAGTCAACCAATAAGGAATCTCCACACTTAATGGCTCGCTGGCGGCACCTCACAAACCACTCCCTCTGCAAAATGCCAGGCGCCATCTTGACTTGTTTACAGACCTTTACAGGGTGGGTTTCTGACCCACACAGGTGCATCTACGTCCTTTCATCTTTTGCAACAAGAACCTGGAACAAGCCCACTAACATACGGGACTGTTTTAAAAAAGCCATGAGATATTCAAAGCTCTTGTCCAAGAACAATAATGATATCAATCAATCATACACAGTTATTGTTGGATTGGCTCCTGTGAGCTTACTTCATGGGTCTTGTGGATTTTCCTTCCCCTGTGTCTGTGAATGGAGAGCCAGGAGAGAAGGAACCATGACCCTTGGCTGTGTAAAGGCCATTGTGCCCAGTACTGTGGCTGGCACAAAGTTAGCAGTCAGTTCTGTGTCCTGGACAGAGCGACCTAGAGAATTAGAACATGCTACGGAGTGCTAATTGTGTGGCTCAAACAATAAGGCAATTTTAGCTAAGGTGACCCAATAGCTAAAATACTGACTTGTTTAGAGCCTCATGATCCAGAGCTGTCTCTCTCATCCCTTATTGTACAGAAAATCTAATGTGCTCATTTACTGTGTTACCTTATTTGGAAATAAGGTTTTGCTATGTATTCAAGTTAAGGTGAGTCCTACTAGATTAAAGTGGGCCCTAAGCTATCATGACTAGTGTCCTTGAAATAAGGAAGGATGAGCCAGAGACACAGCAAGGACCATCCCGAGGAAGGGGCACAGGTGGTAAGGACATGGCTGAAAGTCAGCACCACCAGATGACAACCTCCTATAAAGTGGAGAGGCAAGGAAGGGCCCTACCCATAGTCTCCGAGGAAGCACATCCCTACTCACACCTGGATTTTGAACTTCCAGTTTTCAGAACTATTAGAGGGTAATTTCTGTTGTTTTAACTTACTCAGTTTGGGGCACTTTTTCATGGTAGAACTAGGAAGCTGCAGTCACATGCCACATAACAATGTTTTGGTTAATAACGGTGGTCCTCTAAGGGAGGGCGGCCTAGTGACATGGTACCACTTTAGTTGTGAGTGCACTCTGTGATGTTCATACAGTGAGGAAACCAGCTAGTGGTCATTGTTCAGAATGTAACCCGTCCCTAAGCCATTCCTGAAGGTGACCCAATAGCTAAAATACTGAAACAAAAATATCAAGAGAAAACCTTGGAGGCAGCTGGAGAAAAACCACTGGCTATGAATATGCATATGGTGACAAAGAACCCTAGAAACTATGGAGGAGACAGTGGAGAAGATCTCCCAAGTTCTGAGAGAAAAAAGATATCCAACTAGAGTCCTATGTCCAGTAAAAATGACCTACAGAAATGATGGTGAGGTCAAGGCATTTTTAGAGAAAAAGAAAATCAAGGCAGTTACCCACATATAATGTTCTCTACTAAAGTGGATGCTATGGTATATTATAAGCATGACCATCTGATTCACCAAAATACCTTAGATTTTGAGCCCCACTTTTGAGTTGCTGAAATAGATATCTGCTATGGACTGAGAATGTGTATCCTCCCAAAACTCATATGCAGAAGCCCTCTTAGAAACTGTAGCTAGAGACTAGGTCTTCAGGAGGAAGCTGGGTTACAGCGGGTCCTAAGTGAGGCTCTGTTCCCATCAGCTTAGGGCCTGGGTAAGGACAGCCCTGGCCTGTACCCACGCACACGCTTTCCTCTCCCTCCCTCTCCCCTCTGCATGAACAGGAGGTCGTGTGGGCACATGGTGAGATGGTCACTGTCGTCTCAGAACTAAGAGATGAAGCCCCATGAGAAATGGTACCTAGCTGGCACCTTGGTCCTGGGCCTTCCATGTCTGTGGAAGCGGCTCAGCCTGGGGTGTTTTGTTCTGGCAGCCTTCAGTGACTCATCCAGTGTCTTTTATTTAAAACAACTTCTTCCTTAGTGCAGCAGTTATTTTTGTTAGTGAATGGGAAACTCAACTAGTCTCATCCTTTACTTGTGGAAAAGCAGGCTGGGCTGGCTCCGGAAGGCCTGGTCTTCCACACTGAAGGTCCACTCGGATACAGTACTTTCCCTCCACCTTCTAGGAGAAACTGTGAAGCATCTTAAAAATGTTTAGACTCTGGGATCATTTTGGAATGTACATCAAGAAAAGAATCAGTAGTACATATGAGATGTTTTATTCCACATGTATCACATCTTCAAATAATTAGGTTTATGTATAGGTACAATCTATTTTATATATTTTATTTTAATATATACTGGTTAAATATGTCAGGCTAAATTCTTTTGATAGAATGCTAAGCACCTAAGTATCCAAAAATGCCTTCTCAGTTGTAACCAGTGATTTTATTGCTTCTTCTTTATTTAAAAATTTTCCATATTTTATACAATAATATGGAGAAACTGAAATGGCAGGTTTATGGCTATATAAATGGCATTCAAAGAACTTCAGACCTTTAAAATGTATGATTTGATCTATTTTGACACAGGTACAGTCTCACAACAGCCTTGGTGGAGTCAAGACAGGCTGCCCCATCTCCCCAGGAAAGCCCATGGGCTCTCTGTACCACCCTAAGCCTCCCTGATCTTTGCAACCTCAGGGCAAAGTGGGGTCAATTTCATGGTAGATTCATTTGTGTTTTCTGGGGTTTTCTGTAAATGGAATTGTCTAATATGTGCTCTTTGCTCTTTTTTTTTTTTTTTTTTTAACATGACTTCCACCAAATATCAGCACAGGCATTTTGAGATCCATCCATGTTTGTGAATTGATAATCCATTTTTTTTTTTTTTCTGTGTAATGTTCCATTTCTAGGACTTATCACCATTAACCTGTTACTGGGCATTTGGGTTGGATCCACATTTTAATTGTTGCAGATAAATCCACTTTGGACACTGTGTACATTTATGTTTTCATCTAGCAATTTATCCTCTGAGTGTCTTTCTTTAACATTTGCTGGTGATGAATTCATTCAGTTCTTTCATATATATGAAAAGCCTGTGTTTTCCCTTAGGTTTTAAAAGGTATTTTCACTTGGCTTAAAATTATAGGTTCCATGACTTTTTGTGGTAGTAGTGGCCGTTATTGTTTTTGATACTTCATGTCGGTTGCTATGTAATAGTAGGGTTCATTTTGGATGTGATGTACAAGCATGGGAGTTTCCTGAGTGCCTACATAAAGGTATGGTTCAATGTCGTCTCACTTTCATGGTCTGATGGGAAATCTGCTGTTGTCCTTGTCTTTGTTCCTCAGTACGTAACCTGTTTTATGTATCTGGTTGCTTTCTGTTTATTACTGGTTTGAATAATTTGATTAAGATGCTCCTTGGCTTAATTCATTTATGTATTTGTGTTTTGTTCTTTCTGTTCAGTAGGCTTATAGTTCTCATTAATTTTTTTGGAAATTTTTTCTTTCATTTTTCAGATTTTTTTGGGGGGGGTTCACCCTTTCATTTATTTCCTTCTTGGGGATACATTGCTTAAAAATCTCCCACAGCTCACTGATATTGTTTTCATTAGAACACTATACTCTTTTGCCCTGTGTTTCTTTTTGATAGATTTCATTGCCACGTCTCCATGTTCTTTGGCAGCTTCTCACCTGAGGCTAATCACTTTAGAGTACGTTTCTCTCAGATACTGAGAAGTCAAATTTTGAGATACTATGAAAGAGAGGAAACATTGAAGCAGCATTTTAAAAATTACTAAACCAAAAAGCCTTCAACCTAGAATTGAATATGACGTATATATCACCTACTTCTTTGTTTATATTTCTTAAATTTGTGGAATGTAGTATTGATAACAGTTTTCACATCTATGTTTGCAAATTCTAGTATTGTTGTCAATTTTGAGTCATTTTCATTGATTTTTCTTCCTATCCTTAGTCATTTTTCCTGTTATTGTTTTCTTCCTCCCCGAATCTGGTATATTTGGTTGGCTATAATACATTTTGAATTCTATCTTGTTAGGCAATGGATGTTTTCATTTTCTATTAAAACTCTGAAGCTTTGTTTTACATTGTGGTTTAGTTTTTAGAAAGTGATTGATCCTTTTTTTTTTGTATTGCATTTAAGAATCATTAGCTGGAACCATTCAATCTAGAATTAGTGACTTCCCACTACTGCAGGACTATTT